GGCTTTGTAGGTCATAATCAACACCTTGAATTGGGCCCGGGCTTCAATGGGAAGCCAGTGAAGCTGACGGAGGACTGGAGTCATGATGGGAATTCTGGGAGTTGTGGTCCAGATGCCTCTGAAGGCCACCAGAATGGGGAAGGCTGGCTTAGACTACACACACAGAGAGACGGGCAGACTTGAACAGGGAATACGTGGAATTGCAAATACACGCCCTTTTCCCTTTTGTGTCACGCGCAGGAGATGGATCCAAGATGAGAGAAGAGTGCAGCAGCGTGTCTCTTCACGGTGGTGAGCTGGAAGCAGCGTGTGCGCGATCGGAGCAGGTATGAGAGTTGACCACCGGGCAGCTGGGAAGGAGGCAGCTGGGCGGCTCTTTTTTTCTGCACATTTGCTTTGGCTTTAAATAACCTTCCTCTCTTCCCGAGCTTTCTGTTCTGGGGATTGTGCGGGCCATACTGGTTCTATAATTTCTTTTCCGGATGGTCTTCAGGAGGAGGGAAAAGCACTAACCTTTTCTGCTCCAAGATGATGTGTCTTCCTCCAGATGATCTTCGAGGAGGTGGCCGTGCACTTCACCGAGGCGGAGTGGGCCCTGCTGGATCCTGACCAAAGAGCCCTGCACCAGGAAGTCATGGAGGAGAATTCAGGGTTGGTGGCCTCTCTCGGTAAGGCTTCCCCTTTGTGGATGTGGATGGATGTTCTTCCAGCTCTTTCTCGATTTCGCAGCCAGCATTGTCCTCTTCTGAGGGATCTTCTGGAGTCACCTTTGCTTGGGGGACCTTGGTTGAAGCCATAGTAAGCGCCAGACAGTCACCCCCTCAGCTGCCTCCTTTTCTGGAGGGAATGGGGTGCCCCAAGGCTGTGGGGTGCAATGAGAACATCCAGAATGATCCTATGGAATAAAGAGACAAAGTCTCAGGATGTTGAAGAGATGCATGTGGCTGATGACCACCAAAGAGTCATCTTGGACTCCCAAGTGTGTTTTTCTGCACTCAGCTGGCCTCCCTAGGTAGATTAAAATTATCCTCTGAAAAGCCCACACTCAGGGCTGAATCACAGAATGGTAGATTTGGAAGAGGGGCATTGAGTCTCATCCTCTGCTTAGTGCTGGACTCCGTATCACAAGGGGCTGCTTCTTGGAACAAAGCCACATCTATAAGGCAAGGTTCAGAAAACACCGCAAGCCACCATACCCTAAAACTGACAGGTGACTGGACTTATCGTGGGAAGGAACCCCCTCCCTCCCATTCCTTGAAGGCATGTCAGAGGACCTCCCGGGAGAAATGAAGGCTTCCTTTCCCCCTGTCCCCACCAGAAACTGTTTTTGGCACGCTGCAGCGTGACTCTTAATTTTCAAAACATTTGGGGAGATGGCAAAAATTGGCTATGAAGCATCTCATGGATGGCCCCCTTTTTAGTGAGTGCAAACATGTGGACAAACGGGTAGCAATATTTTTAAGTGCCTTTCCCAATGGATTCCCCCCACCCTCGACTGTGGGGAGTGTGTGTCGGGGGGGTTGCCAGCCGCACAAGTCCAGCAGGTAGTGACCTGTCAGAGGTTTGCAAGTTCCTGGAAGCACCTAATTTGCAAAGCGGGGGGGGGGGGCGGGGGAAATCATTCCATCTCCACCTCTGTGCTTGCATTGAGGGAGTATTCAAAAGCAGAGGGGATTGATTGATTGATTGAAAGCTTTTATATTCCGTCCTTTAAAGTTTAAACTTTAAACAATAGTTTAAAAGAACAATTTAAAACAACAACTTCCAGTAAACAGATTAAAACAGCAATAATGTATAAAACAATAAATAGCAATGAACACAAAATAAATAAAACAAAACAAGAGCGACTGTACATTAAAAGCTATTGATTTTAAAATCCCATTTAAATAAAAAGGTTTTGACCTGGCGCTGAAAAGAGTATAAGCTTGGCACCAGGCGTATCTATCTGGGAAGTAGATGCCAGAGTCTGGGCCCCACTGCAGAGAAGGCCCTACTCTGAGTTGATTTAGTGCCAACCTTGATGGATGTCAAGCAGGTACCACGTTCAGCATCCCAGTGGGTTTTGGAAAGGCTGAAGAGTCTCTTCTTCGCAAGGACCGCATGCAAGCAGGCAGGTGCTCTGTGTGTGCACACCTTCCTGGCGTACCAGAGCTTTTCCACCTCTTCCAACTTCCAGTTCAAACCCAGCTCTGAGAAAGGGACGCCCAGCTTCCTCTTGCCAACGGGAGCCATCATCCGGGGAACACTTGCAAAACTGAGGGGATGTGTGGGTCATGTGATCATCCCCCCAAGACCCCAGGGGTCCTGATGGAAGAGGGGAAATTGAGGAGGTGGCCCCCAAACGACCTTTTCCACACGATCCTCAAGGGTTTTTAGGAGACAGGGTTCATTTTCCCGAGGATATCCACTCTTGAGAAACTGAGAGCGTTCCGTGGACCTCGGAGCACCCCTAAAAAGCCCAAAGATACATAGCATTTTGTAGAGAGCAATAAAACTTTGCACACAGTATGTCTGAAGTCTTTAGAATAATTAATTGTTTAGTGAGCAGAAAACAATAAAACTTTTGAATTCGGAAAGGAAAAAAAAGCCCAAAGATTCTGTTGCTAAGGACCCTCCCTACCCAACCAGCCTCATTTTTTGGACACACTTGTAAAGCGAGCTTTGCAAAGCGCCACCGTGTTGACTTTTTGGTACTTCGGGTGAGATGGACGGACTGCATGAGGAAAGGCACAGCCCTGAATTTGGAAGACCTGAGCAGGGCCCTCAAGGGCCGGCCATGCTGGAGAGCGCCCACTCCCGGGATTGCCATAAGCCGTAGATGACTTGATGGCGCATCACCACAACTAGAACTTGCTGGGACCCGCAAAGTGCTTTGACTTTTTGTCAACAAACTAAACTTCTGGAGATTGCAGAAACCTCCTGCCCAGGTGGCCTTGGCGCTCCCGCTTCTGCCAGCCATGGCTAGTTCATCCCAGGGAGTAGCCGGGTTTGGTCCTGCTGCAAGGAAGTCTTGTAGCTTCCCTTAGAGCAGGGATGGCGGACCCATGGCACGGGTGCCCAGAGGGGCACGCAGAGCCCTCTCTGTCGGCACGCGGTCGATCGCCCCAGCAGCCACACACATGTTCGGAAAGTTTAAGGCTGCCAGGCAACGATGTCACTTCGTCACTCATTAGCCGCCACTCACCGGGCTTTCACACGGCCAGTCGGGAAGCTGCCAGGAATTACTTTGTTTGGATCATCTTACGCTTGTGAGCAGCTGTTTTCATCTTTGAATTATATGGAAACTGATACAAGAAGCAATGTTGCGTGTATTGCTCTCAAACTAACCCAGTAAGAGTGAAGGTTTGACAAATTATCAACATGCATACGACAGCAAATATCACATTAATTGTGCAAAAGCATTTCAATAAAAAGCTGTTTGTATCATCGAAAGCTCTGTTATTGTATTTTTCTTTTAGGACAAAAGATGTTAATGTATGAGTTGTTTTTTTCTAAACTAAAACCTCAGTATTCAGGTTTTATTGCAGTGTCGGCACTTTGTGATAAATAAGTGGGTTTTCGGTTGCAGTTCGGGCACTCGGTCTCTAAAAGGTTCGCCATCACTGCTTTAGAGCTTCGAGTTTACAGCAGCAACCTTGCAGGGATTTTGGGAAAGAGCTCGTGTCTTCCATGGTGGCCAACATTTTGCAACTGTTTCGGAGGGGCTCCTGTCTGGAATAGGAATAAGGAAAATCCCCACCACCAAAGGATTCCCTACGTGGTTTGGATGTTATCAAGGTGGTAGCACCCTAACCCTAAGCTTGCAAAATGTAAGAGCCCGTGGGAGACAGAGACTTAAAGATCTTTTTTCTTTCGAAACTTACTTAATATTTATTCTTTAATGTCCTGTTATCCTCTTGAGCTGTTATCAGTTTTCTCTTTTTTCCGATAGGTGATTGGCAGAACTCAAGCAAAGCTTGCAGCCTCTTTCTGGAAGGAAACAATGGTAAAGCTTTCACATGCTTGGAGTGTAGAAAGAGCTTCAGTACGAGCAAAGACCTTGCTGACCATCAAAGAATCCACACAGGGGAGAAACCATTTAAATGCTTGGTGTGTGGGAAGCATTTCAGCCGGAGCTCAAACCTTATGGAACACCAAAGAATTCACACAGGGGAGAAACCCTTTGAATGCTTGCAGTGTGGGAAATATTTCCGCCTGAGGTCACACCTTATGGACCACCAAAGAATTCACACAGGAGTGAAACCTTTTAAATGTTTGGAGTGTGGAAAGAGCTTTACGATAAAGACAAGACTCACGTACCATCAGAGAATTCACACAGGAGTGAAACCATTTCAGTGCTTGGATTGCGGGAAGTATTTCCGTCAGCGCTCACACCTTATGGAACACCAAAGAATCCACACAGGGGAGAAGCCATTTAAATGCCTGGAGTGTGGAAAGAGCTTCAGCTGGAGCTCGGTCCTGATGGACCACCAAAGGATTCACACAGGGGAGAAACCCTTTGAATGCTTGGAGTGTGGGAAGTATTTCCGCCAGAGCTCCCACCTGATGGAACACAAAAGGATCCACACCGGAGAGAAGCCATTTCAGTGCCTGGAATGTGGGAAGAGCTTTAGTACAAAGAGAAGACTCATGTACCATCAGAGGATCCACACAGGGGAGAAACCCTTTAAATGCCTGGAGTGTGGCAATAGCATCAGCATAAGGAGTAGTCACTTGTGTCATCAGCGAACCCACACAGGGGAGAAGCCATTTCAGTGCTTAGAATGTGGGAAAAAGATTAACTCTGAGCTCCGACCTTGAGGGCACTGTCCAGGGTGTTCTGAGAGAAATTCACCAAAGCCTCCAAATCTGGGGGGCTCACATGTATCCAGTAAACAGACTGAGGTGTGGTAGCAGCCATCTTTCCCACCGCCATGTCTCGCCCTACGTGTATTTAGCACTGGGAAGGGTAAGCGAAGGAGGGCGAGACACCAAGCAGAACCGGCACTGGGCAACCACCTCAGTTGCCTCTCCCTGTCCCCAGTCACCCCCTTTGTGTCTTCTCCAAAAGCACAGTGGCATCCTCAGAGAGGCAGCCGACGTAGCGCTTCCCATAATGACTGCAAGAGGCTCCGCCTTTGGGATCTTGACTGGTCCTCTTAAGTCACAGGACCTTGAAGGTGGAGCTCCAGGATGGTGTCAGGAGGCTGTAGGATTATGCCCCGAGTCACACAAAAGAATCCATTGCTGGGAAAAACAATCTAAATGCTTGGGATTTGTAAAAACATTCATTTGTTGTTCAAGCATTCGAGCACACCCAAAACCCCCCACACAAAAAACTCCGAACACTTAAACACTTAGAAGTGTGGGAAGAGCTTCAGGATAAGGAGAAGCCTCATATACCTGCAAAGAAATTGGGCATGAAATAAACGTATTGTCTCCATCATCAGGAGGCAAAATTCTCCAGGCTTTGATCAAATCTAATTAAGCTACATACGCCCAAATTAAAAATCTCCATGTAGTTTGCTTCAAAGGGATGGGTCTTTTCCTCTCCAATGAAAGACCTCATTAATATCCCCATCCTTCACCAAATAATCCTAAGACATATCAACCAGTTTGTTAAAACAATCATGAAACATTCTCAGAGAATCATCACCAGGCCCAAAACATTAAGTAAAACATTACTTTGTCATTCTCTTTTCTGAACACAATCAGAGTCACTACAGTCCTGTTGGGCTGGGGGAGAAAAGTTGTTTATGGATTAAAATTGCACCCCCTTAAACTGGATCCAAGTTCATTTACTTAAGCACTGTATTTCTTAAGCCAACAAGCGTAATCTTATGCTTGTTTGGTCTTTGCAGCCCTTTGACCTTCCACAAAGTTGCTGAACTTTGAAAAAATACTAAACATATTGGTTTCCCCTCCACAAATACAGATCCTTCCAATTATACCAAATATCCACTACTTTTAAATGCTATACCATATAACTCAAGTGCCATACATTCCAGAGAAGAGAATTCCTTGTGGTCGAGGATCATGCCTATTCTGAACCACACATAACCTTAAAAGATGAAATTAAAAGTGAACAAAACCGTGGTAGAATATGGCAGTCCCCATTTCCCTCACTAAAAAATAAAAACGCCCCCCCCCACCCCAATTCTAGTAACAAGCCATCCGACATAGCTTGCATTGCCCTCCAAACTTGGAGGATTTGGGTATCCCATGGAAAGCAGAAAGTGAGAGGTGAACATGGTCTTTGTGTTCCTCCCACCCTACAAAGGACTTAAACTGTTAGTATCAGCCATATGAATCTTTCCCCCAATGTGCCACCAGGTTACTACATTTTGGGGCAGAGTCTTCCTCCTCCCTTTCCTGTCCCCTTGGAATGCCCATAAATCTCCATGTGCAAAAGGTGGGTGGTTCCTTTCCATGCCAGCTGTGTGGACGGAGGGAAGGCGCCCCGAAGTTCAACTCCCAGCTCTGACCTGGACCCACGTTTCTGAAGTTGGAGCTGACCTCCTTCAGCAGCCATTGAATTGCACCCCAAAATAGAAAACAAAGATGGTAAAAACCTTCTTGGCTTCTAGTAAAGGTGGCATTGTATTCTATCTCACCCGTTTCTAATCAGTTATCAAATATATACTTAAAGTACTTATTTAAGAAGATATTTTAAATATATTTTGAATCGCTTATAAACCTATACTTATGAAAGCATATACATTTATCTAAACAAAGGGGGAAAGTGCACTAAATGATAGATGAAGGTGAAGTGCCCAGAACATTCATCTGATATGAATGTAGAAACGCCGAAGAATAGCCAAGGACTTCCTAGCTGAAAACCAAATCAAGCGACATCAGCAGAGAGATGCCACGGATTTTACTGCCCACGAGGAATAAGGTCCACGAGGTCTCCCAAGACTGAAACTTGATCCTGACAAAGAACACCCAACGTTGTCAAGAATTCAGTGTGGTACAATAAATTCAGTCCATTAGTTAAGTTTTTTGCCTTTGTAAATTGTCTTCTTTGATCTCATAATGCATTCGTATAATCAGGCAAAGCATGATTTTCTCATTAACAGCTTTCCAGGGAGAGGCCCTTCGTGCCTGGTCACACCAAGGAGATATTTTGCAGTTAAAGCTCTTGAAAACTGTACCATGACAAGTCTTGCTCTCAGCCTACTCACAGAGCCAGAAGTGCAATACACTTAACCAGGATCAAGCTAAAAATTTGCGAGCTGCGTAATAATTCAAGAAGCTGTGCCAGTCAGCCCTGTGAAGACTGATGATCAAAGCTGAAGCACATGCAAATGAAGAAGTTTCCCAAAGAGAAATGTGAGCCAAGTATTAAGCTATGGAAAACACCCATTGCACTTTCAATTCTGTTCATTTAAGATGATCAGAAATGGCGTCATGTGTGGAGGGTTTGAATAGAATCCTGAATCAGCTGCAACACCTCCCGCTTCTTGGATTGCTGAGATAACTACCCGTGCCACGTGTTTCTCAGTATGGCAAGAATGTCCATCCCTTCTTGTTCCAGCTCAGAAACCTTGGATGGTGGAGGCGGTGGAGGAGCTGAGGGTGGCATGCCAGAACCTTGTGTTTCCCTTCGAAGGAGCCTTGAGCAGAACCCCTTGGGAGCACTTACAGCAATTCAACAGAGGAAAGAGGAGCTATAGCCAATTCAAAGGTATGAGGCCTTAAAGGGATTTGAAAAGCTGAAATGCTGGGGAAGACACAGGTGACAACCCGGCAAGTGGGAGAACTCGAGGAATTGGAGCCCAACACATTGGGAGCACATCAGGGACATCAAACACACAATAAGATGGTAGCCTCCATTTTCACGGTTGAGAAAACCTTGAAAACATCAGGAAGTAGTCCCGAAGAAGAAACCATACTTAGAATATGGGAATGAGGACTCAAACTTGAATAAATACCCAGTTTACATGATGGGGGAACCCCATGTTAAACATTTTAGCTGTCTAGTATTGCTTATAATAAGGGATGCAGGTGGCGCAGTGGTTTAAACCTCTGTGCGGCTGGGCTGGTTGATCGAAAGGTCGCCGGTTCAAATCCGCACAATGGGGTGAGTTCCCGTTGCTCTGTCCAGCTCCTGCCAACAAACGTACCACCTCAGGGGGCAGGTAACAGCGCTCCACGCACTGCGGTGTTTAGTCATGCCGGCCGCATGACCACGGAGACTGTCTGCAGACAAGCGTTGGCTCCCTTGGCCAGGAAACGGAGATAAGCACCGCCCCCTAGAGTCAGGCATGACTGGACTTCACGTCAAGGGGAAACCTTTACCTTATTGCTTATAATGTATTTTAATTTGTGATAAATCCCATAGAAATTTTTTTTCCTATGGTAAGCATTATATAAATTGACTAGGTAGAGCAATCCTTTGGCCTCTAGACAGTGTCTAGACAGCCCTAGGATTTTTGGAGTCCAAGATTTGAAGTTGGAAAAGTGCACTAACTTCAACCCAACTGGGGATCTGCTCTTGGGACTCCCCTATCAGCAGGGGTGGAAACAAGACATCCCCTTTGCCAAAGATGGAGATGGGTGTTCTCATGGTGCAGTTTATCCTTAAGCCACCTTCTGTTCATGCTTGAAATGCTGTTCATGCTTGAAATGCTGCACCTAGATAGCCAAAATAGTTACCTGGCTGCTTGGCTGAGCAGGGAGAGTAGAGAGGTAACTTTTGACTCTGTGCTTTTCCCACTTTGCTTAGGATGCTGGTAATCCTACAAGTTTGGAGGGTTACAGGCAGTGCTGTTGGAAGGCAGCCTAAGTAAATAAAGCACACATGTTTGTGGAGTGTGGAAAACAGAATCTGTGTCTCCAGTAGAAAAAGGTGGATCCTAAGGGTGAATCCTAAAAATGCAGAGTATGGAAAAAACCGGGGGTCAGACTAGATGGCCCCTTTTGACTCGCTCTGTTTCTGTGTTTCTATGAATGTGAAGCAAAGCAAAATTTTCACATGGGGAGAAGTATTTAAAATCAAATCCCAATTTGATCGGAGGTTTTCTGCTGGATGCAGCCTTGTTAATGGATGATTTTGATCTGTGAGCTCAGAAATGACATTGCATCAGGAAAGCAATACTCCTTAAGAGTTTTTAGATATTTTCAGGTGTTGCATAAAGATTACTCAGTGGGGATATGATACAGGCTTATAAAGTGAGGAATGGTGTGTGGAGCAGATGGGGAAAAATGTTTTTCCTCTTGTATAATGGAATGGACGTATAACCAGAAAAACGGATCAGCACCTGTTTCATGAATAGTGGCGAAGCTATTTGTATACAAACAAACTTGAGCATGAAGCCTGCCTGGTATGCAGATTTTTTGTGGTAGTTTATTAATAAACCAGAAGCTTCTGTATCAGAATTAATATAATGAATTAGTACTTTTGACACGCTTCCTGGCTATTTATTAATTTTAGATTTCATCTTTTTTCTTTTCTTTGTTTTCCAAAGACCTCAAAGTGGCTTACATAATTCTCTCAATTTTATCCCCTGTGAGGTAGGTTGAGCCGAAAGTCTGTGACTCACCCAAAGTTGGCTCCAGGCTGTACAGGGACTTAAACCCAGATCACCTGAATCCCAGTCCCACGCTTTTGGGCATTACACCCACTGGCTTTTTGGCCCACCCAATTGTATGTCATGAGTCATGTCATGTCTGCATGTCATGAGCAGAGCCGGGGTCAGACTAGATGGCCCGGGAGGCCCCTTCTGACTCACTCAGTTTCTATGTTTCTATGTATTTTTATTATTATTATTATTAATTTTAAAAGCATTCCTATAGATGCGGGAGT